GCATACTTTCATGTGTCGATCCTTCCGCCCCACAGACCATTTCTGCGGTTTGTGTTTGAAGGACGGGCATACCAATACAAGGTCCTGCCCTTCGGGCTGTCCCTGTCTCCCCGTGTCTTCACGAAAGTCGCGGAGGCGGCTCTTGTTCCCCTCAGAGAGCAGGATGTTCGCATCCTCAACTATCTCGACGATTGGCTTATACTAGCACAGTCTCGAGATCAGTTGTGCGAGCACAGGGACCTGGTGCTCCGGCGCCTCATCCTGTTGGGTCTTCGGGTCAACTGGGAAAAGAGCAAACTCTCCCCGACGTAGAGGATCTCTTTTCTCGGTATGGAGTTGGATTCGGTCAAACAGACAGCACACCTCACAGAGGAATTCATTCAAGTGCAGGATAGCAGTCCCACTGAAACTATTTTAGAGGCTCTTGGGGCATATGGCAGCTGCAGCGACACTTACACCACTAGGGCTATTGCATACGAGACAACAGGTCTCCAGGCATGCTGTGGTTTACACGGATGCCTCCACCACTGGCTGGGGGGGCCACGTACAATGGGCATGCAGTGTCGGGGGTATGGACGGGCCCCCAACTGCACTGGCATATCAATTGCCTAGAGTTGTTAGCAGTGCGCCTTGCCTTGAACCGTCTCTAAGGGCGCTTACGGGGCAAGCACCTGCTGGACTGTTGCGTACATCAACCGACAAGGTGGTCTGTGCTCCCGTCGCATGTCGTAATGCACTGGCACACAGCTGGCTGTGGGGCCTGTGCAAGTATGCGTTTCCCCCAGTGAGCCTTCTCGCACAGATGCTGTACAAGGTCAGGGAGGACGAGGAGCAGGTCCTGCTTGTGGTGCTGTATTGGCCCACTCGGACATGGTTCCCAGAACTAATGCTCCTCGCGACAGCCCCTCCCTGGCAGATTCCTCTGAGGAAGGATCTACTGACTCAGAGATGGGGCACCCTGTGGCACCCACGTCCAGACCTCTGGAAACTTCATGTCTTGTCCCTGGACCTCCAGAGAGTCCGTATAGTAGAACCTGTTGAGCTCCTCCGTCCCCTCGGCAGCCAGACGTGGCGGAACATCTGGCGCTAGGCCCTCACTCATTGAATCCGTGAGAACCGGTAGAGGGCTGGGTTCCATATGTAGAGGCCTAAGTGGTTCCCATATGTGTAAAGTCCACGGTATAGCCTCGGAGCCCGTGTTTCCCCGGCAGACTTCTGCCATTCCATGAGGATTACAATCACCTCCAATTTTCCATATGAACCTAAAAGGATGTTCATATGTATATTTGCTTCCGAAACCTCCTTCGGGAAGGATGGGGCTTCCGCAGCGTTCCTGTTCCAAGAATGGTCTTCTTGTTGCGAGCCCCAGCCTACACCAAAAAGGGGCGCAGATGGCTCGCACAGGGCACTGGAAGGGGCAGCATCCATGGTGCTTTGGTAGGGAATCCCAAATCGTCGGTCACGACGTGACTCGTAGTGACTCGTAGTGACCGACTGAAAGGGAACGTCTCGGTTACGTATGTAACCCTCGTTCCCTGAAGGAGGGAACGGAGACGTCACGTCGCCACGGCTGCTGTACCATCGCTGAGTGGCCAGGTCACCAGCTCGGCTCCTCAGCGAAAACCTGGTATGCATTGCACCGGCTGCCTTTTTATGCTCACGCTGTGATCAGCGGCAGCTGGATGCAATAATTGCATGCCAATGTGCATTGGCTTGTTTAGTTACACTTGAAGTAGATTGGTCTCTCGAAGCGAGATCCCAATTCGTCGGTCACGACGTGACGTCTACGTTCCCTCCTTCAGGAAACGAGGGTTACATACGTAACAGAGATGTTCCCTGGATACTATCAGCTATCTGGGTCATTGCACTCAAAAACACCTCCCATTTATCCCTCCGAAGCGAGCAACGCACACCCACAGACAGCTCCCTTTGACACACACCAAAAAAACTCTCACGTAATAAAATGTTTTGTGCGCCACACTGTTATTATGGGGCAATGCATCATGACGTTATGAAAATAAGTATAATGTCTAAAAGTCTAAAAGCCACACACACACAGATTCACTCAATGCCTTTGATACATTTTCATCAACAATTATTGATTGCCTCTCTCTCTCTGTCCCTGTAGGGTCCTTGACTCAATTAGGGCATAACAAAAACACACACACACATTCACACCCTACTTAATGTCTTCATAGTGTGGTGCAAGTCTGGTAGCTTACGTGTGCTTGTTAAAGTAAAAATTGTGGTGAGGCCAGACAATACAGCCTCATTAAACTCATTGAATTAAACATACACAGACCAATTAAAACCCTTCTCTTAGGATAAACACTCTATTAAAACATCTGACCTTAATTTAAACAGTGAACTCAGTACTGTCCCTTATTCTTTCTCTAATGATAATTATATACTCATACCTTAACAGAATTCACACCAACGGAATACAGCTGAAAGTTCTTATGATTTAACTCCATTAAACTTCCTTTAAAGTCCATCATCCATAAAATTACACACATCTCACTCCCCGTTTAATTTACTTTTTTTTTTATATATATATATTTTGACTAATTTGATAATTACCAACAGAGTGTATTAGTCTCAGCTCCAACATTACAATTTGTACCATATTTAAAGGAGTATTCCAGGTTAAATACAAGCACTACCACAAAAACATATAAAAAAGTATATTTTAATCAAATAAATAAAATAAATTACAAAAAAAAATTTTTTTTGGCTTCAATTCCATTCCACAGATTTTACCCAACAATCAATGTAGAAAGTCGTAGTGGGTGCCTACTTACGACCTGAAGATTTAGTGGAGAATTATATTGCCCTGATGCTAACCTTAACACAACCCTAACGTTAACCTAAAAGACAATGGGACATTTCAGATAGGATATTTACGATACGCCTATTTGCTGAATGAGAAGAGCGGTCTGGAGAGGGTGGTTCTGGGTACAGGCCTTGGAGGCGGCGAATACACTGTGCTGGACGTCAGAGGGTAATTCTGATTGGCCGCATTGAAAATGGCAGACGAACCTGAACTATGTTTGAACAGGAAGTGCCTGTACAGGAAAAGAATCAACACGTTATGTGCTACTTGATCTGTCAATCAATTTCTTTATGAATATCTCAAATTACACCTGGAAGAGTTAAAGAGAGGCAGAGAGAGCAAGATGGTGAGAAAAAAAAGAGAGAGGTGCAATTGGAGTGTGTGATCACTCTCACTTGCTTTGGTTACTAATTGGAGTCATTTGCACTCACGTGCATTTAATTACAGATTTTTAGCACAAGAGATTAATGAGCCATTATTAATAGATAACATCCTTTAGATGAATTATGATATTAATTACACAGAGGAGTCCATTCTTAGAGTAATTAAAAGGTGCCTGCTTAAAAACAATTTACTCAGAGATGCACAGTCCTGGTGTTGTCGAGCACTAAGTAATGTTACAATGCTTGGCAGTTACTAAATAAAAACAAAATTAATAATAATAATAATTACTTTTTTATATTAAGATTTAAGGTTGAAATGTACATAAATGTATAAGGGCAATATTTTAGGTGTACTTTCTTTTTTAACCATCTTTTAGCTTTTTTGAAATTCACTGAAACAATCCCTTGGTGTGATAAAAATAAAATTAAGTCATTTTAGAAATTTTAAAATGTACTCTCTTAATTAATATGTGATCATAAAAACTGCACACATAACAATTTTATAAGAATTAGAAAAAAAAAGTAGCTTAAAGAAGTTTTAGATGAAGTATATCATGTCATAATGCAGGACACTGCTGTCACTGCTTGACATGTCATGTCAGCTACCCGAGTTCTTAAAGCCCTTGTAGCTATTCTTTCATTTTAAAATCAAAAGTTTCCGTTTTTTATCCCGACATGCGGCTAGACCGGTTGGTCTGTGAAGCACACAGGCGCAGAAACATGGTCGTTTAATCGTGTCATCACGATGACAGACAGATTGACAGAGAGCCATGGGGAAATTGGTTACAGCTTTTAGGTTAAAAACCCAAAGGCAGCAGAAGACAGATCTTCAAATTCCCAAGATACACATGATTCTCAACTGAATCAAATTGATCTCTTTGCAACATCAGCTAAATCTGGACCAGGGTAAACGTGTGCAACTCTTCCAAAGACACAAAGGGTCAATCAATAAAAAGGAACAAAATCATTGAAAGGTAGATCAGTCTAAACACATTTACAAGTTCATATGCTGATGAGACAAAAAAAGGCATGATGACATCAATACAGATTGAAGATTATGGTGAAAGACTGAACACACACACACACACACACACACACACACACACACGTCTCTATTTATATTATAGTGGAGACTATCCATCTGTTGTTCTTTAAATTAAGCTAATTACTACTCCCAAAACAAAACCGTACCCCCAAAACACAGCTTTTGGCATTTTTCAGTTTTTATTGAAACAATGTTTAGTCCATTTATGGTGTTGTTTTCATTGTCATGTCTTCTCAAATGTCCCCACAAAATAGGTCGTTTCAGGTTTTACTATATTTCCGGGGACATTTGAGCCCTACAAAGTTAGCAAAACCTGACCACGCTTGCAAGTGGAGACTCACAACAGCACTGTACATAAAAATACAATTATGGCTGATAACAGATGAACAGTTTTAATCAAACTGAATACATTATGTGCAGATTGGATAATTAATTGGATCTATTATAATTTATTGGATATATCATAATGAAAAATAATGTTGTGGCATTGCAAGAAGTGCCATTAAATGTCAATATATTGTCTGTTTTTTTCCATATCAATTTGTTTAGCAAAATCCAATTTGTTAGTGTCCAATCTGTGTAATTTTTTAACACATTATTTTTTATCTAATTATTTGCATGAAATGAATACATTCAATTTACAGTGATAATAAAAAATATTTTCAGCCAACGTGGCTAAATGACCAAAGTAGTCAGCTACAGGATACAAATGTGGAAATGTAAAGAAAAACGCAAAGTGCAGATACTGTTTCAGGGTCAAATACATGTCAAGTACTAAAGACGAGTCGAGTCAATGAGAATATACCCAGAAACACACAAGCAAGTTCTGGTTATTTGTTTATAGTGTCTTACAGGGATGCTGTACAAAGCACTGAAAGGAGCGTTTAAATGAGCATGCGATGGTAAAACGAGGCTTGAGACTGAGAGAAAATTACAGTTTACCTCAGCCAATAAAAAGAGACAGTTAATTTCACACTTAGACACGCAGAACTAATCCTGTCTTTATTTACTGTAGAATAAATAAATAACAATTAACACTCAGAAAACAAAGAGAAAGAGTGAGACGACGTTAAAAAGACACAAAGAGAGAAAGAAAAGAGCAGGTGTGAACATGGAGGATCACAGTTATACAATTCAGATTTCTACAGTCTCAAAATAAATTCTATTAAACTGGCTGCTTTTCTCACTGAAATCTCAGAGCTTGAATTTACATGGCCAGTATGGGGCTTGTTGTTAAACCACTTTTAAAAAACTGTGAAACAAGGCATGTACACGGAAAACTGTCATAATGAAAAAATCTCAGATTGAAATAACACAAGATGTAAATGCAAGATGTAAAAAAAGACATAAAAAAACTTTTTAAGCCAGCCAGTGATCACCATGCATTTCCATTGTATCGAAGCCTCAGCTTGACTTGATAAACACAAATATTTGAATATAGATTTTTATATTATATATGAAAACGTTTAATTTTTCTATATTTTAATATATATATTATCTTAAACATATTTATATATTAAATATAAATACATTTCAATATATTTTTTATGTGAAAAATATCAAAAAGGTGTGCACATCCAAAACAAAGTTGGGTACAGGTGTAGGTGTATGTATATATAACAATTATTTTTTTACTAATTCAGTACATATACAGTATATGGCGACTGAATCAGCAAGTGTTCGGAATAATATGCTTCTCCTCTGTGCGTTAATGTTGGTCTACTGATCCAGATTTAATTGAGAAAGTTCATTTGGGAGAGAGCAACATGTCAGCAGGTATAGACTTCACCATGACGATGACACGTTCTCGATACAGCGCCAATGTCATCGGGCGATCGGCTAGAGCCGCTATTTAAACCGGCCAGAATCTCTCAGGCAACCCTTTAACCTGAGGACTTTCCTGCAGCAGTTGGCAGGATTTTTCGAACCACTCTACAAAATTGGTAAATCTGCTTTTCTTTAACCCCCAAATCTCAAAGAAAACATCTGAATGCGTGACATTCACTCCGTGCCCTGTTTCAATCCAAAGTGTGTGGCCATGTGAACTCTGTAAGCAAGTGAGGTTACATTTCTACACTCCTACTCTTGGCTTCATTCAGACGCTTCATTCTCCTTTCAACAGCATTAAGTGATGTTTGAAAAACAGGACTGGAGCTGCTGGAAAAATACATAAGGACTAAGTTACCCAGCATTCCTTTAATAGCTGCAAGCATAAACATTCCATTGCTGCCTGCTGCTTGTGGTGACTTTTGAAAAGGTGCTGCAGTGCTTAGTGTGGTTCAGAACACTTGAAATCTGTTAATAGGTGTTGTTTGGAGACAGCCGGATTTGGATAATGGTGGCTTTATTTAATCACAACATGACAAAGAATGCTACATGCTTGACCAGCATGGCAAATCTTCATAAAACAATAAACATCTCTCCATGTACATAACAGCTATCAGCAGCAGAATGGATATGTGACACAGCTACGGTTGTTTGTTCAACTTCTCAGTCAAAATAACTTTGACCGCTACTGCCAAATTCACCTTGCTGGAAATCTAGAAAAGCCGCCATACACACGCTCATATGTATGCACGCTCACGTGGCTTTCATTTTCCCCAATATCTTTGGGGTTTGTGTGCGTGTAAGACAATCACCCCAGGAAGACAGCTTAATTTCCTCCCTCAAAGCAGACACGTCTATCCTTCATCATTTATTTACTCTCCCATTTCTCTTTCAGAAGAGTAGGTCAACCCTCAATCTTCTTCATCATCATCATCATCATCATATCTCTCCATCTGTCGTTCACAGACAAACACATATACTCAACTCATGCATATTCTCTTTCTCTTGAAGATTTAGTCATTCCTTTGTCTGTTTTATTATCCAAGCTTAACTTAAAAAATTAATTGGGTGTTTCTTTGGAAACTTGGTTGCTTGAGATTGAATAAACAAAGTCTGGTGTGGGCCAAATTTTGCTTACAAAGTAGATGTCAATGAAGAACTGAGGAAAATGGCTTTACAAAACACTAAATGTCTTAGTAAAAATGTTAAAATGCAGAAAGGTGAGGTTAAGACATAAGGTTTTAAGGATCATAAAACATCATTACCTCAGTATAAAACAATAAAAGTCAAATGGAAAGACCCGACTATCATAGAAAAACAAATGTACGTGTTTGTATTTTCACCTGGTCTCTAGTGGTATGTTGCTGTTCAGTGCCCAGGTATTGTGCGTCTGGCCGTTGTCATCCTGTCCAGCTTTGTTCCCGGAGTCCAGTGGTTGGCATCGGGCGGGAAGCGTGCTCCTCTGCACCACCTCTGGAAGGGGAGTCGGTGCTGGACGGGCACAGGTGCAAGCGTGGGGCGGGGGAGGTGGAGGGGGCAGTGGTCGAAAGGTGAACTGAGCCACAGGGCTGGAAGGCAGATCTTGAAAGGAAAAGAAAAGAAAAAGAGAGAAAGAGCAAGAGAAAAAGAGATTTAATTATAATATTTAATGATAGTCTTCAAAGTGTCCATTTCTTGAGAGAGAAATGGATCCTTTTAAAAATCGTTCTCCCGTTTCTTGTACAGATTCTATTTTCTTGTCAAACTCAAAAAACCTTTAGTAACACTTCACTTTACAGCATATATGTATAATGAATTATAAAGCTATTCTTTATGCATTTTAATGTCCTACGGCTTGTAATCATTTGTGTGGCCTCATGTATAATACATATAAAAGTATAATGTATTAAAATACATAATTAGCATCCAATTTCCTGAGTTATTTAATGTGTTATCATGTGCATTACACTGCATTAAACTCTTTAAAGATGGATCCATGAATAGGTACTGAAAACGGCAATGAATAGGGTACAAATTGGTGTCTTTTTCCTTTACCTTTTCTTAAATATGCTAGATAAACTATTATCTAACAAAAAATTAGACTAAAGATTACCAAAGCTTGAAAAGAAATGAGTTATAACTTGTAAAGTTACCCCCAACCCAAAACCTGTGATTTTGGCCTGTCCCACCACACTCGTCTTGTGGTTTTTAAGTCCAAAAATAAAAATCATAAAACAATATAAAAAAGTTTTGACCTAATCTGTTCAATTGATAATCAATTAATTGTTCAATCATTCCATAAAATTGTCACACCAAGGAAGTTACATTATTTGGACCCTTTCTAAAACACAAGAAAACAAATAAAGACTTTTTTACACAAATATTAGCCCATTGAGCACATTTGTTGAGCTCAACCATTGAAGCCTATAACTACATATGATTAAAATAACTCAACCAAATACTTTTCTTTTATTCATGGGAAATATAAGCTGAAACAATGTGTTACTGAAAGTGGAATTTATAATTAGAATTTGCTGAAAGTAGCAAGTACAACATTATACACCATATACCACAAGAACTACATTATAGCATTATAAGCATATTAAGATATAAATATATTAAGACATATATAGAATTCAGACATGTTTAAAAATATAATTAATTATATAGCTTACCTTTATAGCAAGAATCTTTCAAATGTATAATATGCATATAGGCTTCATGTGGTGTTATTAAACCTCTTTTCTCACCTTTTTTTCCAGTGGTCTTATTATCTTTGCAAAACAGCACATTCTACTTAGATACTTAAGCTTCTGCTTGAATTACAACAAGCTGAATGGTCCGTAAAAGCATCACAATAAGTGTCCACAAGTGTCTGCATCCGACTCCATCGAGATCGAGATCGAGATCACAGAAACTCTATCTGATGTTGCAGCATCTGCACACATGCTGCGTTTTTCCATAATTTTCTCTTCTCTTTCATTTAAAACAAAGCTTAGTGTCTACTGCTACTGCTACTTACTGCTAAACTCACCCTGCTGGAAAAAAGGATACACACACACACACACATACACACACACATGCACAAAAACGTCTGATCCTTCCCTTCTAATTCCATTAGGCTCTCATCGGGTTTATCTATCTGTTTTAGTGTGCTAGAGATTCTCTCTTTATTATTTTTGTCCTTTCCTTTCTGTCCCTTCACTTCATGCCTTTCACTCAATCTCTTCTGAGAGCCCAAATTACTTCCTAATCGGAAAAGAACACTTTCTATTTGAAGATTTGGCAATGGCGCACAAAAAAAACAAAAACAAAAAAACACACACACCCATATGTCCACACAAAGCTCTAAATTTCAATCTCAATGAATGGACCCAGACATAAAGAGAGCAGCCGAACAAATTCAATTAGGAAACCTCACTCTTAAAGCTCTGGGATTGCATTACATAAGAGCTCTTTTACTCTCTCCATCACCTCAGAAACTGATCAAATCCACTCAAATTAACACTCTTTAAAAACTATTTTGCACTTTCTAATGCAAAAGCCACAGCTGATGTGATTGTGGGCAAAAGCCACAAGAAGCATGGTGGTAGTTGGCCTGTCGCAATAATCAATATATCGACTTATCACACAATATATGTACATGACCTCAATAATCAGCTTCTAGCAGTGAAGCAAGCACTGGCAGGGATGCCGGAAGTATGGCCCTGAGATGCAGCGTCTCGTTCCCTTCGGGGAACCATGGTTACATACGTAACCTGGAGACGTTCCCCTTCAGGAACTCGAGTTGCGTCGAAACGCTACGGGAACGAGAATGCCCACGCCACCTAGAGGGAGCTCTGGATGGAGGATGGTCTCAACAACCTCGGTTGACAGACCAGAAGCTATGAGTTGTGCCTCTTCAGAGGCCACACCCACAGCTTCTACATCTCCGGGCGGGGGCGCGCCCTCCGCCTGTGAGAGGAGATCTCTCCTGACGGGAATCTCCCATGGAGCGCCGTCGAAGAGAGAAATCAGGTCCGAGAACCATACTCGGCCTGGCCAGAACGGGGCTACTGGCAGTCGACTGACCTCGTTCCAGCGCACTCTCTCCAGAACCCGGGAGCAGAACAATCGGGGGAAAGGTGTACAGACGAAGCCTCGGCCACGTCTGTACCATGGCATCCAGCCCCAGTGGAGCTGGATGACTCAGAGAGAACCAGAGGGGACAGTGCGATGTCA